CCCCGTTTAGGAGGTGAATGATGATTTTTTCCTCTACCAGCAGAATCTGGAAGAACAGAGAGATAGGATGGACCTTCAACATTATGATCAGTAACTTCTAAACCAACTTCTTTGGAGATATGAATATCAGAATTCGAGAGATCTCCCTCGGCAGCTAAGTCATTAGCAGAAGAGTGAATTTCAGAGGATAATTCCCTTCCAGTACCAGTCTCCTTAGGGATTTGTTCATTTATAAGATTTGTACCAACTGACTTTAAATCCTGCAAGCCTTCATTACCTCCAGCATCTTTGACCACCGAGATAGAGATGTTTTGTTCCTTTTTCCTCCATACTTGAGCAGTAGCATGAGTAGTGTTTGAATTATCCTTGCATCCTTTTTCACTAAGGCCAAAAATATTGCATTTTCTACAGCAAGAGGGAAGCCAAGGCACTTCTACAGCTATCGAATTAGCTTGACCATTGTTTAGGACTACATCAACATTTCCTCTGTCGCCCCTATTTCGACACACATTTTTGTATATTCTAATTTTGATTTAGAGGCTGTGATAGAATCCATTGAAAGGGGAACACCTATGGCACTTGCAATGTAACTAAGCCCTTCACACGAGAAAAGTTAAAGAGGAACATTATATAGGTGAACCCATATTGGAATTCTAGATAAGTCAAAATTAAGATTTTTCATGTTCGGTTCCCATTTCCTAAGGATCAACGGTTTGTTTAAAATGTGCCAAGGACCATTTTCTAAGACCCAATCCTGAGCAGATTCAGAATTGAAAGAAAATAAGTAGAGATTGTTGCCTGTGTGACTAACCTGAACATGAGCTCCTTGCAAAGACTTTTTCCACAAATTTTCAATGATCCTTTGCATTGAGATAAAATTGGGAGCAGCCCCAAAAAATTGCCCCACTAGCGAGAGTTTCCATTCTGCTATTCCAGCTTCAAATACTTCAGGCCTCCTCCATTCTGCTATTCCAGCTTCAAATACTTCAGGCGGAGGTTGTACGGTCGGAATCCCCTCTCGCGATTTTGTGGGAAAGTACTGTAACTTTTGCCCAGTTGAACACGAGAACAATTTACGCCAATTCATCAGACTCTCGAGCGAAACTATTAAAGAAAAAGCTGTAGACTGAAGAGACAATGTGAGAAGAAATCAATCGGTTCGTCGGAGACACGGCAGATTTCTCAGTTTCCATTAGTCCTGCTAACGTGCACCCAGAGAAAATCACAATCGCGCGCCGTCATGAAATTCAGAAGTTAGAGATGTTTTATATATAATTTGTCTTCAATAATTTCCAAATAGTTATGGTTTCATTCATGTATTGACCCTCTTTGTTGTCTCCTTTACTATTTTCATTGCATCTTGGGTAATAAGAAATTTTAGATTAAAAGTTATTGTATTTATTTTTAATTCGTGATGATATGAATATTTTGTTTGTGCCAATTCAAACATGATTTGCTGAAGTTGATACTTAATTCCGAACATGCTTCAAAGCACCTAAGGATAAGTTTCACATTTCTAACAAATTTTACCTTCGCACTAAGAGAGAGAATAGTGTCATCTGTAAATTGTAAGTGAGTTATAGCTTGAACTGGTAAAATATTACTAATGCCCCCTATAAACCCTTTTACTTCTGCTTCAATGAGTAACAAATTAAGCGCTTCAATAACCATTATGAAGAGGAAAGGGGACAAAATATCTCCTTGTCGCAACTCCCTTTGTATCCGAAATTCTCTAGTCGGTGAACCATTCACTAGTATTGAAACATTTGCCGAAGAAATACACTCCATTATCCAGTTCCTCCATCTACCTCCAAACCCCATCTTGCTTTGCACCATATCCAGGAAGTCCCATCGCACGCAATCATAGGCCTTGGATAAATCCAATTTCAAGATAACCCCCGACACCCTACCGTCATATCCCATAGAATGGATAATTTCGTTTGCAATCAGAATTCCATCAAAGATTTGTCGACCCTTTATGAAGGCACATTGACTCACCAATTATGATCCATCACCAATCTTAGCCGCATTGAGAGAAATTTTGCAATGATCTTGTAAATTGACCCAACAAGGGTAATTGGTCTAAATTCAGAAATAATTGTTGGATCACACTTCTTCAAAATTAAAGCTACAAAAGAGGAGTTAATTGATGGGGGTAACTTGCCTTCTTCGAAGAAAACAGACAACATCTTACATAATTCCCCCTTCACTTTCTCCCGGTAAAACTTATAGAATTTCAAGTTAAATTCATCATGTCCAGGGGCGTTCGAATCCCCACAACTCTAAATTGCTTCTTTGATCTCATCCTCCGAAAAGGGTTCTTCTAATCTTTTCACGTCTTCACTGGAAAAGCTTTGAAATTTAAATTAAATTCCCCTCTCTAGATTCTATCCGGGCATCAGGTCCAGGGGTCTTTTCACTTTTTCACGTATTCTTTGATTCCAATTTAATCAATTTTCTATAACCATATATATATGTTCTTATTTTTTCATGTAAGGTTTATATATATCATACAGAGGGATTCAACTCAAATTTAAAAATTAATCCACCAATTACTAAAAATTTTGAGTTATTCGAGTTATGTTTTATAACTCAACAAGAATTTATTTTTTTCCAAGTCGAGTTAAGTTTTTTTGAGTCGAGTCCAATCGAAAATTCCATTTTTTTCAAGTCGAATCAAGTTTTTCTTCCCTAAGGGTGGGGGAAGGGTCCTCCCGTATCCAAGGAAGCTCCATCCCTGGTTACGTGAATACTTATATATATCAAGATCAATTACGTGAATACTTATATATGTCAAGATCAATTCTAATAAATGGTTGATATGAGATTTTAAGAGTTTGTGTCACGGCACTAGCTACTTAATTGATGCGTTGTTAACCAAGATTTGTGGTAGAATTTTGCAGTATTAATTTGCAAAATAAAATGTAATTGAAACAGAAAGTTACAACACCAAGTAGAAAACAAAAGATATGGAAAAAAACCATTGAATCAATTGGCACAATCGTGAAAAATGGGTCCAGACATGTGGTCCTAAATGATGCCTTGAGACGTATGATTTGGGGTACAGTCCATGGTGAAACAGGCTGGCTTTGATTTGTGTGAATGTGACAAAGTTTGAAACTACTCGTAAATAACAAATGATGAATATGTTTGATTCCAATGTTCAATCAAAATAAGATTCTATCAAAAGGGTTATGGTTGATATGAGATTTTAAGAGTGTGTCACGGCACTAGGTACTTAATTGATGCGTTGTTAACCAAGATTTGTGGTAGAATTTTGCAGCATTATTTTGCAAAACAAAATGTAATTGAAACAGAAAGTTACAACACCAAGTACAAAACAAAAGAGATGGAAAAAAACCATTGAATTAATTGGCACAATCGTGAAAAATGGGTCCAGACATTTGGTCCTAAGTGATGCCTTGAGTCGTATGATTTGGGGTACTCGTAAATAAGAAATGATGAATATGTTTGATTCCAATGTTCAATCAAAATAAGATTCTACCAACGGGTTGGTTCAAGCTGTTTAAACAACTTGATATCACTTAAGTGTCAAATTCGAGTTTTTATGTATGCGAAAAATCTTCGCTGGGAGACTCACCCACCAAAGTCAGGTGAACAACCCGGTGGGTCCAAATTAATTAAGACAAAACCTTAAGAACCGAAAGGGCAACCACAAAATAAGATTCTCAATTGATGTACTGAGACTCCTTAGGAATTGAAAGAGCAACCACAAAATAAGATTCTCAATTGATATATTGAGACTAAATCTTTCAGTTTTTGTTTTCCTTTTGTGCTCAATAATTCTGCGTATGTCATCTTGATCAGTTGTGATGATGTTAAATTCAACCCTGAAAAAAGAAAAAGGAAAAAAAAGAAAACAACGGTCAAACAACCGAAAACATGCCATAGAGGTAGAGAAAAAACATGTCATAAAGGCAGAAGAATAGTACCAAAAAGGCATAATTATTAAGATTAAAAAAACAGAAATTAAAAACAAAGATACGCTATAATAAAGAAAAAGAAAAAATATATATTAAGATTATTTATGATCAAATTCAATTTATAATTTGAATTGAGATTTTCTGAGAACTAATTGAAAATAATAAAAGTATATATTAAAAAAAATCATAAACTATTCAAATTGCATATTAAAGTATTTAAATGTAATTCTTGTAATAATTTAAATATTCAAATTACTCAAATACTACGTTCAGAAGCAAGGTTTGCAGTACATGGTTTGAATAATTGGAATAACAAAGTAAAAATTAAAATGGTAAGTTACATATGACATGAAGTAGAAAACGATAGAGAGAAAAAAGTCATTGAATCGTGAAATATGGGTCCAGACATGAAGTCTTAAAAGAATATCAGTTCTACTCTTCAACTTGAGACTAAGTCTTGCATTTTAGGCCTTCATTATGTGTCGTGTATTGTGGTTGGTGCCTTCTTATCCAAATTATGACTCAAAGGATACCCTGCCTAAATCCATCTTATTTAAAGACACTGAACTAACAATAGTGAAGCATTAAACCCTGTTGTTTCTCTCTTCATGATTTGCATTATACCCACACCCAACCTTATGGCAAAAACTCCCTTCCTCCCTCTTATGTTTCTGCTTCTATTTGCAACCTCTAGTGCTACTTTCTCTGCCAACATTACCACTGATCAATATGCCCTTTTTGCCTTTAAATCTCATATAACTCATGATCCGCATAATCTCCTAGCAACCAACTGGTCCACTTCTACCTCTGTTTGCGATTGGATTGGTGTCACCTGTGGATCCAGACACCACAGAATCACTGCTCTAGATTTGTCAAGTATGGATCTCACAGGCACCATCTCATCTCAATTGGGAAATTTATCTTTCCTTGCCTCGCTCGACGTTTGTGATTATAGTTTCCATGGCTCTTTACCTATTGAGTTAGGTAATTTGCATCGTCTGAAATATTTGAACTTTGGTAACAACAGCTTCAGTGGAGAAATCCCATCATGGTTTGGTTCCTTCACTAAACTTCAAGGCTTGCTTTTGTACATGAACAACTTCACTGGTGTTATCCCGTCCACTCTTGGCAATTTGTCAAAACTGGAAAAGTTATACTTGTACAACAACAGTCTCCAAGGGCAAATCCCCATGACTCTGGGAAACCTTTCAAACTTGGAATGGTTATATCTGGATTATAATTCTCTTTCAGGTACCATACTTTTCTCAATCATGACTTTCTTTTTACTAGTAAAAAATTATTGTATAACGTTGCATTGCAGGCCATCTACTCTCACTTGAACAATTTCAATTTTTTTCTTCATTTTTTGTTATCTAATTGTTATATTCAATTGAACCATCAACCAATTATTTAATATGACAGACTAAATGAGTAAGTCATAACTTACATATTGAAATAAGTTGTATCGTTAGTCTTCTCTTAATCAAATACCTTGGAACTATTTTTATATTTTTGTAGTTTTTAAAACTTTTAGTCTCTTAATATAGAAATACTTTTGGTTATGAGAAAATAAATTAGTTTCACATTTCATACTTATAACTACTTGAATATGATAGTTAAAAAATTGTATGTAATATTGTCATGTTTACTGTTTGATTTTTTTTTTGGCTTCAATTTTTTTTGGGACCTGATACTTCCAACTATTTGGAGCTTTCATAAGTACTAAAACAATTTAACAAATTTTTTATTTTTTTAAACGGAAAATAAATGCAGAACATATACCTATAGTGCTCAACAAAAATATAAGGATCTTCTATAAAAATATTAATAATTTTTGACATATTTAATTATATATTTTAGATAAAATTTCACCAGTGAATGAAAATTTGAATTCTCTCACGTACATATATTTTTCTAATAACGATTTCTTGGGTAAAAATATGTTTGGATTGAATATTTTTCAACTATTTACAAATTTCTTAAGCAGTGAAAAAATTTTGAAAAAAAAAATTCAAGTTTAAGAAAATAAAAATGGAAAGAAATGGAGAACAAATACCTCTAGTGCTCAACATAGAAATTAGGGGTTTGTTAGAAAATTTATTAATAAATTTTGATCGGTTTACTTATATGTTTGATGTGAAATTCTATTAGTTATTACAAACTTTACTTATCTTGAGAATATTAGTATTTCTTTTAAATAACTTTAAAGATATAATTATCATGCTTTTTTAGATTTTATATCTTTCTCGATCTTGAATATATTTTCATTAGTTAAAAGATTTATATAACTAACAATTTCACTGCAGGCCATCTAGAGTCGGGAATATTTGATAACATGTCTAATTTGCAAGTATTAAGCTTGACTGGGAATCAAATTTCTGGTAGCATTCCCAGTAGTTTATACAAGTGCAAAGAGTTGAGGTATTTATCACTGTGGAACAACTCTATGGAAGGAAGTATACCTATAGAAATCGGAAATTTGACTATGCTCCAATCTTTGTATCTTGGTTTCAACAATTTCAAAGGTAAAAAATTCCTCATTTGCATTCCGTTCTCTTTTATTTTAATTAGATAAAAGTTGTTTTATAATTAACAATCTCACTGCAGGTCATATGGAGTCAGGAATATTTGATAACATGTCTAAATTGCAAGTATTAAGCTTGACTGGGAATCAAATTTCTGGTAGCATTCCCAGTAGTTTATACAAGTGCAAAGAGTTGAGGTTTTTATCACTGTGGAACAACTCTATGGAAGGAAGTATACCTATAGAAATCGAAAATTTGACTATGCTCCAATCTTTGTATCTTGGTCACAACAACTTCAGAGGTAAACCCCGTTCTCCTTGATTTCATTAGTTGTGTTACGTCTAACTTTAGGAAACCAGTTAGAGATGTTGAACTTTGCCTTAAATTGACGTCAAACCTAATGGAAAAAATGACAACCTCAATGGTAAATAATTTTTTTTATTTCATTGAAAAATATCAATTAAAATCACAAATTATTTAAATTATATAATAAAATATTCAAATTCAATTTTCGTAATAACTCTGACTTTAGTTCTTTAAATAGATTAAAATCTTAGAACCCATCAAGCTATCTCAGTGGTCAGTAATTTAATCCGTCACTTTTATTAGCTATGCACCTCATCCATGCATGTGTTACATCACAAATATAATTCACCTATTTAGTCCCTCACATATTCTCTCATTTTTGTTTTGATAACATAGTTATTATTTTTTTAAAAATCATATCTAACGTTATGTTTTATTTTTTTATTTTAGTCACCTAGAGTTAGATTTGACCATTGACTTAACAGTAGTAGTAATGTGGCATGGTATAATAACAATTTTAGTCATCAAAACTTACATTTTCTATCAAATTAGTCTTAAGTCGAAATAATTCAAAAAGAATCCTCACTTTTTTAAAAATCTTTCAATTTGGTCGAACATAAAATCCCAAAATAAGGGCAATTCCAATTTTTTTGTTATCTAATTTATATATTCACTCGAACCATCAATCAATTATTTAATATAAAAATTAGGGCAGCTAAATGAATAAGTTATATACACTACTATAGACACAATATAAACATAAAGATACTCAATCACACTACCATAGACATAATATACTTATTTCGTCAAATTATTTTGACAAATTTAATTTTAAATTTCAGGTACAATTCCATCAGTTATCGGAAATATAATTTCTCTAGAAATTATTGATTTTTCTTATAACAACTTGACAGGTATAATGCAACTTTCCTTCCTCTTTTTGTTGTTATTTTGTTATATATTTATTAATTAGTTATAAGAATTTTTGTCATTTGATGTGTCCTTTTGTATTCAAACATAAATCATATAAATATTAAAACTCAGATAAAGCCATTCTAAAATGATTTAAATTTAAAATATCTTATTTTTTGGTCAAATTATTTTGTCAAATTTAATTTTACATTGCATGCCATCTACTCTCACTTGAACAATTCCATTTTTTCTTCATTTTTTGTTATCTAATTTTTATATACAATTGAACCATCAACCAATTATTTAATATCAAATTAGGGCATGCTAAATGAATAAGTTATAACCTACATATTAAAATAAGTTGTGTAAAAATATAAGGATCTTCTGTAAAAATATTAATAATTTTTTACATTTAATTATATAGTATGAAAAATTGAATTCTCTTGCGTACAAATTTTTTATAACGATTTCTTGGGTAAATATGTGTTTGGATTGAATATTTCAACTATTTGCAACTTTCTTAAGCAGTGAAAACAATTTGAATAAAATTTTCAAGTTTAAGAAAATAAAAAGGGAAAGAAATGGAGAACAAATGTCTCTAGTGCTCAACATAGAAATTAAGGGTTTGTTAAAAAAATTATTAATAAATTTTGATCGGTTTAGTTATATGTTTGACTTGAAATTCCATTAGTTATTACAAACTTTACTTATCTTGAGAATATTAGTCTTTCTTTTAACAACTTTAAAGATATAATATCATGTATTTTTAGATTTTATATCTTTATCGACCTTGAATATATTTTCAATAGTAAAAAGTTGTTTTATAACTAACAATCTCACCGCATGTCATCTAGAGTCGGGAATATTTGATAACCTTTCTAAATTGCAAGTATTAAGCTTTGATGGGAACCAGATTTCTGGTAGCATTCCCAGTAGTTTATACAAGTGCAAAGAGTTGAGGTATTTATCACTGAGGAGGAACTCTATGGAAGGAAGTATACCTATAGAAATCGAAAATTTGACTATGCTCCAAATTTTAAATCTTGGTCGCAACAACTTCAGAGGTAAAAAATTCATCATTTGCATCATGTTCTCCTTTATTTCATTAGCTGTGTTACGTCTAACTTTAGGAAACCAGATAGAGATGTTGAACTTTGCCTTAATTTGACGTCAAACCTAATGGCAAAAATGACAACCTCAATGGTAAATAATTTTTTTATTTCATTAAAAATCTCAATTAAAATCACAAATTATTTAAATTATATAATAAAATATTCAAATTCAATTTCCTCTTTGCAAGCAATTTCTTTGGGATTCAACAATTTCTTTGGTTCTCTCTCCTCCAATATGTTAGATTATCTTCCTCAATTATCTATTCTTGATTTGGAAAGTTGTCAACTTCATGGAAGAATTCCAATGAGTTTATTCAAATGCAAAGAGTTAGAACATATATACTTATATGATAATCATTTGGAGGGAATTGTGCCATTAGAAATCTCAAATTTAACTTCACTTCGAACTTTCACCATCCATGGAAACAACTTTTCAGCTAACTTAAATGACACATCCTACTTTAATAATGTGCTTAAATATAAAATAGATATTTCCATTGAATTTTTTCATTATATTGTCTTAATTTATTTTAGCTTTTAAATTTATTTTTTAACATAGTAATTTATTTTTTTTAATTATACTATCTTAATTTATTTTTTTAATTATTTTTTCAATAATGTGTTTAATTATATTGTCTTAATTTATTTTTTTAACTTGTGCAACATATATAATGTCTTGAATTGATGAAAATAATTAAACGCATTCATGTCTTGCAATTGGATGTGGAGATCACTAAACCAATTGTACATATTTCTCAAGTCATATTATTTAATATGAGACAAATAGAGTATACAAGTTCTGGTTCAAAATTACCTAAATTCTAAAACTATAAACATAAAGATAATCACACTACTATAGACATAATATACTTATTTCTTCAAATTATTTTGACAAATTTAATTTTACATTTCAGGTACAATTCCATCAGTTATCGGAAATATAATTTCTCTAGAAATTATTGATTTTTCAAATATCAGCTTGACAGGTATAATGTAACTTTCCTTCCTCTTTTTGTTGTTATTTTGTTATATATTTATTAATTAGTTATAAGATTTTTTTGTCATTTGACGTGTCCTTTTATATTCAAACATAAATCATTTAAATATTAAACTCAGATAAATCCATTCTAAAATGATTTAAATTTAAAATATCTTATTTTTTCAACTCGAAAGGAACTAAACAAAAAATCCTTGGTTTTTCTAATTGTAAGTTTTAAAATTGTTGAGTTATGATACATCAAAAGAAATGATCAAAATCCTTTTCAATCTCAACTTCTTTTTTTCGTTGGAAAATTTTCTGTCAAAAATTTGGTAATTTATTGCATGTCATGTCTATTGGTTATACACATCATGCGTGTTTTACATCACAAACATTATTTATTTGTTTCAAAGATTATTCAAACTCCAAATTCTAACCCTATTCCATATTTTTTTGTAAGGTCAAATTCCTTCCTCATTATGCAATTTAAGTTCCCTTAGGGTTCTCTTTTTAAACAACAATGGTTTGGATGGAACAATTCCAGAGTGCATTGGAAACTTCAGCTCTTCTCTTATACACATTGATCTGCAGGATAATAATATTCATGGTAAATTACCAGAAAATTTTGTAAAACATTGCAAGTTGCAAAATTTTCAGATCAACAACAATCATGTAGAAGGGTCACTGCCCCGATCTTTGCGTAATTGCAAAGATTTGCACCTTCTTGACGTTGGGAAAAACAAGTTACATGACACTTTCCCATTTTGGTTAGGAAATTTGGATCAACTACAAGTTCTCATCTTGAGATCGAACAGATTCTATGGACAAGTGAATAGCTCAGATATTGCAGTTTCCTTCACTCATTTGCACGCCATTGATCTTTCTCATAATAACTTCAGTGGTTACTTACCTACCAATTTTTTTGAAAATTTGCATGCTATTATAGAAGGGGTTGGAAAGAAAGTTGAACCAGAGTACATGAAAGATGAAATTGGTGACGTAGCAGTGTATTATGTGCAAGGTTTATCTTTTACAATAAAAGGGTTCGAAATAGAGTTTCAAGCACTACTGACCAGCTGGATGGTAATTGACTTTTCCAACAATCAATTCTTGGGAGAAATTCCTAAAACAATTGGTGAGCTTCATTCTCTCATTGTCCTAAACCTCTCTCACAATTGTTTGAAGGGTTCTATCCCATCATCATTTGGTGATTTGTCAAACCTTGAATCATTAGATCTCTCATCAAACAAACTCCAAGGAAAGGTTCCAATGGAGTTGAATAATCTTGGATTCTTGGAGGTGTTAAACCTTTCTCATAATTATCTGGAAGGACCCATTCCTAAAGGCAATCAATTGGATACTTTCAGTAATGATTCCTACATAGGAAACTTGGGTTTATGTGGATTGCCATTATCCAAAAGTTGTGATAATGATGTGGGAACTTCAACCAAATTTGATAGAGATGTTGATGATGGATTGAATTGGAAATTTTCTATATTGATGGGGTATGGATGCGGGTTGGTGTTGGGATTGAGCATGGGATACATTGTATTCACAACTGGAAGACCATTGTGGTTCATTAAGATCTACTTGAGGGTTCAACAAAGATTTGCAAAAAAGAGAACTCTTTGATAGATTTTTATTGCAGACCGAGTTGTGGACAGAGCAGAAAACTTCATTGCATGGTGGTAGGCAGGCCCTTATCTATAGTTGTTTTATATATAGTTTGTCTTCAATAATTTCCAAATAATTAACCCAAAACTATAAGTATGGTTTCATGTATTGACCCTCCTTTGTTGTCTCTTTTCTATTTCTATTGCATTTTGGACTTTCCTTTATATTGTGCTTGGATGAATCCTTGCACTATGTGGAGTTTTAAGAAATTTTAGATTAAAAATTATTTTATTTATTTTTAATTTGTGATTATATTAATATAATATAAGAGAAAATTACACCGTTCCTCATTCTACTTTACTCTCTCTCCTATTTTTTATTGTATTTTTAATTTTTCTAATTTGCTCACTAAACTTTACAAATTGAATTATTTTGCTCACTCTGTCGTTAATTATTTAACAGTGTTATGACATGGCACAAGAAATGTCACCTGCCACCAAGTCATTTTCATTCCGATCACCTTCCACCTTCGTTGATGGTGCCGTTCGATCTCAAATTTCATGGGTCGCTTCATCTTGACCCTTGAGTCTGAATCTGGTAGCTATTTCACTGGAAAATATCTCAAACCCCGTGAATCTAGATTGAAACGTTTCAGCTTCCTCACTTTCAATCTAAAAAAGTGGACTTCAAAGCAAGTTCCAACAAAATGAAGGTTGGATTCAGATTTACGGTGTCGAGGTGAAACGACCCATGAAATTTGAAACCGAATGATCACCATCTGCAGTGGTCAATGGTAGCCAGCGTTAACAACATTAAAGAGATAACAGGGAGTGAGCAAATTAGGAGAAAGAGTAAAGTAGTGTAAGGTACGATGTAAATTACCCATAATATAATTATCCATTGGGATATTTTTCTCGTCGCTGCCAACTATCCTGTTGCAGCTCACATCATCATGGAAGCAACTTGCAACTAGGTCTAGGTAAATAATATTACAGACCCAAGCCTTGGGCTGAAAGTGTTGATGAGAAATATGATTATTAAATTATGATTTTATCATATCTTAGTCAGTAGATTAACGTCCAGCTCAGACGAACGTCAATTTTTTAACAGAAAATGATTATTTTGGAATATATGAATAGTCGAGAGACTCAACAAAACATCTTAAAGCCGGAGGATCATTCTATAACTTTTAATAATCTGATGGACTCAATAAAATAATACCCTATAGTTAGGGGACCATTTGTGTACTTTTTCCTTTTTTATTTTAATTATTATTTTTGTTAGTGGATCGTTCTAATT